AATACAATTATTTATTTTGAACACTTAGAATTCAAAATATTCTTTTTTTTAAAAGAAAACCAAAGAATATACTTGTTTGTCTGTAAAATTCTCTTAGAGAAATTAGAGTCTTTATTAATACTTTTTATTTTAATTTACATTCTCTTCTTTTTTATATTACATCAAGTTAATTACTTATAGTAAAAATATTAAAGAAAAGGCTACTTAATTAAAATGCTTTTTATTACAAAATTTTTTGCTAAATAAACTTAGTTACTTAAAATAAAACTTAGTATCCTTGGAAAGATAAATAATGTAAAAAAAAAAAAAATTCTAACAAATGCAACTTGTTAAAAAAATGAAAGGATTCGTTGGCCAACCTAACTAATTAAAGACACATCTAGTCCTAGACTTTAAGATTGATTTTGATTTAAGTTAGACTAAAGACACTTCATAGACTTTAAGTTTGATGTTTTCAATATGGATATGAATATTAATGTAAAATAAAGGGGGCCCGCCAAAAAATTTACCCCGGGGCCCGGCTTCGCTCTCTGCGGACCTGAACATCAGTCTGTGAAATAGCCAGAGTCTTACAACTAGAAGTGTATGGCCATAATACGGTTAGTAAGCAATTATAATATTTTTAAAAGAGCATCAAGATCTGCATCCTGATTTTATTTCATTTTAAAAAGGCAATGTTTCGCATAAATACGTTGTACCGAAAAACGATTTTGTTTTATTTTTATTTTATTAATCCTTTGGTTTGGAACCTCCACTCTTAAATATTGTACTTTTCTTTGTTAAAAATAATTTTTAATTAATTTTTTTGTATCTTGCGTCGTTTTGCCATATATATATATATATATATATATATATATATATATATATATATATATATATATATATATATATATATATATATATATATATATATATATATATATATATATATATATATATATATATATATATATATATATATATATATATATATATATTATTTTAAAACATCAAAAATACGATTTCTCTCAACACTTATAAACTTTTTATTATTATAGAAATTTTCGCTGGATTTTAGATACCAGCTTTTTCAGCTTGTTAAATGTTACAGTAATTAGTAAACCGTTATAATTTAAATTAAAACGTTGCTATTGACGTCAGCGGTTGAATGGCTTCTTTTTTGCTGAAATTTAAAAAATGGCGTTCAAAACTTAGTTTTTACGTATTGACCCTCATCGAGATTAATCCCGCCAATTTTTGCAGAACACATGTTTTTTTGTATTTCTAGGGCTTCCCTAACTTTTCTTTCAAATTTTTTATTTTCTACTTTCAATGTTTTTGTTTGTTCCCAAATAATTTCTTTTTTGCAAAATGTTTTATGCAGAGCTAATGCAGATTGATGCTGCTTATTTTCATCAATGCTTTTTCGGTGTTGATGCATTCGTGTGTTTACTTTCATTTTTGTTTCGCCTACATACACTTTTGAACAGTTGCATTTGATTATATATGTTCCTGGTTGACTGTTATTAGGTAATTTTGATTTATTTTTTGATGTTAACAGGGATCTTAAGTTTGGGTTTGATTTGAATACCGCTCTGTAACCAGCTTTTCGGAATATTTTCCTAAGTTTTGGCGAGAGACCGGGTACCCATGGTAAGGAAACTACAGGATAATTATTGATTTCAGATGGAATTGTAATTTTATTTTGTCTTTTGTGTTGAAACTGATGCCCAATATTCATGATTTGAGTTTTATCGTAACCATTTTCAATAAACACGTCGATTAGAAAATTTATTTCATTTTGCAAGTAAGACTTACTACAGATTGAGTAAGCTCGGTGGAGAAATCCTTTAAAAATAGAGTTCAAGATATTTGGATCATGATTTGAGTGTGGCTTAATTTGAATGTTAGTGATAGCATCTTTCCAATATACTCTGTATTTATACTTTCCTGTTTTTTTATTCATAATTTGTATATCCAGATAATTTAGTGTTCCTAACTCGTTTTCAACTTCAATTGAATACTGGATGGAAGGATGTTGTTGATTTAAAATGTATTGGGAATGTTTTGCTTGGTTGTGATTTGGAAACCTTGCGTGACTATCATCGACATATCTTAAGAACAATTTGAGGTTAAGTGCAGGGTTGAAATTTAGTGCAATTTTAATTGCATTGTTTTCATGGAATTGTAGAAATAATTCTGCAAGAACGACCATGAACGAAAGTCCAATTGGACCCGAGTTTTCCATTATATGAATTTCATTGTTCCAATGAAAATAACATTGAAATAAACAAAGTTCTATAAGTTGTTTTATTTCAGGTATACTTAGTCTTGTTAATTTTTTATATGTTGTATTATTATTTAGTTTTTCTATAAGTACAAGGGTGGCTTCTTTTAAAGGAACCGACGGATACAGATTTACGACATCAAAAGATACCTGAACTTGATCGTTGTCAATTTTCCAAGATTCAGCTTTTTTAATAAAGTCAAAGGAATTTTTTAATTTTGTCAAGTTTTCATTCAAAACTGGTTGTATTATCTTAACTAAGAACTCAGATATTCCGTAGTTTGCTGTGCCGATTGTGGAAATAATTATTTCATGATAGGAGGGCTTTGATTACACCATACATACGAGGCGGGATGGGATCACTAGGATATATTTTTTCGTATTCCTCTTTTAAAAAACAGTTTCTTTTATTTAGTTTTGAAAGATATCTACGAATTTTAGCCGCGTAATTTGCAGTAGGGTCTTCACTTACTATGTTTGTACTTTACTATGGGCCTATTTGTTCGCGAATTTTTTCCAAGGCTTTTGAGTGTTCTGCAAAAAATGGCGGGATTATTCTCGATGAGGGTCAATACGTAAAAACTAAGTTTTGGACGCCATTTTTTAAAGTTAAAAAGCCATTCAACCGCTGACGTCAATAGCAACGTTTTAATTTAAATTATAACGGTTTACTAATTACTGTAACATTTAACAAGCTGAAGAAGCTGCTATCTAAAATCCAGCGAAAATTTCTATAATAATAAAAAATTTATAAGTGTTGAGAAAAATCGTATTTTTGATGTTTTAAAATAATATATAAATATACTCTCACACAAGATGTTATCCTTTAAATCATATATATATATATATATATATATATATATATATATATATATATATATATATATATATATATATATATATATATATATATATATATATATATATATATATATATATATATATATATATATATATATATATATATATATATATATATATATATATATATATATATATATATATATATATATATATATATATTATATATATATATATATATATATATATATATATATATATGTATATATATATATATATATATATATATATATATATATATATATATATATATATATATATATATATATATATATATATATATATATATATATATATATATATATATATATATATATATATATATATATATATATTATATATATATATATATATATATATATATATATAGGCTTGGATGGGAAGCGGGTGCGATCGCACTCGATAACTGACCACGGAAATAATATTTATTCAAAACGACTAAAAAAGCTGGCGAAAAACCGGCCAGATTTTTTAGTCGTTTTGAAAACATTTAAGTTTATCTGTTTGCTTGTTTGTCCGCAATAAAATAAGTTTATTTTATCGTAAATTTTGTTTACGGACTTAAATGGAAACATACATAAACTTGAATGTTCCCACTGGAGAAAAATAAAAAAAGAATATTCGCGAACACAAAAAACCCGCCAAATCTACGAACTACTAATTCTATTGGTTCAAAAAATACTAACCGAAATTTCTAGAGTATTCAAAAAATACTAACCGAATGTCCTTAGTATTCTGTTGAAATATTTTTAAAAATTGTATTTTTTAAATTTTGTTGCGTTTTTGTTGAGTTTTCTAGCATAAATTATTTTAAGAATATCCTATCAAACGAACTACTATTTTAATTCTTGGAGCCACATCTACAAAACCATTAATGTTTTAAACTAACATTATTTGGTTACAATAATAAATGTTTTAAATTTATATTTTTTAACTTGTCATTGTTTTGTAAATATATTATAGATTTTATTAGTATATTCTTATTTTTTATATGTAAGGGATGTATTTTTTATGTATGTAATGTATTTTTATGTATGTAATGTATTTTTATTTATGTAATTTTTATGTATGTGTATTTTATTTAAATGTAATCTTTTAAAGCAATTTGTGCGATTGATTTTGTAAACGAAAATACTTCCAATAATAGCTGCGTAAAAATGACTAAAAAAAATACGGAATGGTCCTCCTGACTATTTCCCCTAACACTGTGAGTCCCGGGGCTATAGCCCTACTACACCCACCTCACCTCCTCAATCCAGCACTGGAAATAAGACATAAGTATATAAATAATTATATATACTCTTTGATAAATCGAAGAACATTTGTTTCTTTATAGTTGTAACTTTATATAAAAAATGTCGCTTAATTTTATAAAAAAAGCTTTAAAAGAGCGACGTTTCAAAAATAATTGCTTTAATAAATTTATTTTGCTTAAAGTTTTTTAGCGTTAAAATCTATTTTTCTTTTTTTAACTGTCTCTCATCGGTCCAGTTAATCTAAATGTGCTTTTTTGTGTTTTTTTGAAATGTTCTCAAAACGAATAAAAAATCTGGCCAGCTTTTCTCAACTAAATAATATTTCCGTGGTCAATTATCGCACCCGCTTCCCGACCAAGCCTATATATATATATATATATATATATATATATATATATATATATATATATATATATATATATATATATATATATATATATATATACATACATCAGAGCAGACGACACCGGGGGAGGCCAGGGGGCATGTTCCCCCCCTCCCTCTCTACTTTTTTTCAAAAGTACCTTTTTTTTAAGAAAAATGTTGATATAAGAGGACTTTTTTCACAAATTGATGTATTGATATATTATTCACTTTTTTTAATACAATTTTTATAGAGAATTATTCTTGTCCCTGTTTACTATCATTTTGTGAGAACCACTATAAAGAAAAGTTTTGTTCAATTGTATATCAGTCGTGTGGAAATGTAAGCACTTCAACACTTTCATCTACTGCTTTATCAGCATAACTTTTCACTGGAACAATATATTTTGTTTTAAAGTGTTGTGCTAAACTTTTTATTTTGTGTTGTTAATATTTTATTTGTTTTATTCGTTTTGTTAATAATAATTCTATTAGTATTTATCGAATTGTAAATTTTTTTTGCAAGTTTTGTTATTTATGAGTCAAATTATTTAATCAGTATTTTTTGTATAACCGCTTTGACCTCAAATAAAGCCCTCGGGTGACGTATTTACTTACAACAAGTATTACAAACATAAACATTTTGATATAAAGTTGTGAGAGTTTTCTGATCGCGTTTTTAGCACGTAACAAGTTTTATGTTATTTATAAGTCAGAATAAATCACTATTTAGCAGATTTTAATAATTTACTATTTAGCAGAAAATGTCAAAAAATTAAGATTAGCTTGTTTTGGAAAATCGTTATTATTGATGATGCTGTCGGTGCAGTTTTGAACATAAGTTTCATAACATAACATATAACATAAGTTTCATTTTTGAACATAAGAACGAAACCTTTCGTTCGTTTTTTAGATTTCTTGCACTTTTACATTTTATTATTACGGCTTATATTCGGATTGTTTTAAGATATGAATGGTTTAAAGTTATAAAAAAAGAGAGAATCAGAAATCAAAGAAGATATTAATAATGCTGTAATCCAAGTTGTAGAGTATTATAAATAACAGAACCAAGCTGCGAATATAAATATGAAATGTAATACTTTATGTTACCGAATGAATAGATATAAAAACGATTTATTTATCCAAAATCAAGTTATATAGCACAATTAAGTATGCTCTTTCATAACTATTTAATAACAATGAGGAGATTATAGTGAATGACTGCCTTATAAAAAAGACTAAAATAAATTATGGCTTCAATTACAAAAAAAAAAAAAAAATTGTATTTCATTACGCAATAAAACTTCAAAAAAGTTCAGATAAATAAAGAGAGAATAAGCATGCTGGTATAGAGTGGTTAAAGGTTTTCATGAAGCGATATAGTGAACTTTCATTTCATAAACCTAAAAATGCAAGTTTTTCTTCTTCAACAAGTTTTAAAGTTTTGGCAACTAAAAAAAGATTTAAAACAAAAACACTTCCACTCCTGATAGAATTTTTAATATTGATGAAACCAACATATTGACATTACTAAAATCAACAAGTGCTACTACCCCGTGAAACAAAATAATTTGGACAATGTGTATCTGCCGAACGTAAGCAACTAATTACTATGAGCAGTATAGAAAATGCGGTAGAAAATTTTGTTCCAACTGTCTTTATATTTCCCAGATCAAGGTTTCATGCAAATAGTCCACCAAGTGGTTGGATGACTGAGAAATTGTTGGGGTTACCAGGGTTACCATACAACTTCGTTTCCTCGGATCTTTTATCTATTTTTTCATTAAAATGTCTGTCGGGGAAAGTTTCCTCAATTAGCAGCAAATGTCCGGATTTTCACTTAAAAACTAAACAAAACAGTTTTTTGTAAAACGTGCTAGTAGATTGGTGAACATTGAGACGTCGGAACGTATTTTCACATTACCAACGCTTTGGTGTACACCAATACGTTGTCACGTGTCTTCAGCGTTATCAAAGTTTCAAGCTAGATGCAGTTAGTACAATAAATTTAATTGAAATTTATGAGTTCGAACAATTTTGACGCATTAATTTAGAGTGTTTTCTTTATTTGTTTTTAATATTGTATTATGGGATACGGCTTTATATACGGAGTTTAGGCAAGTTTTTTAAGATAATTGAATAAAAATTCGAAATGTAAAAGAAAGTCAAAGCTATGAATAAACAAAATTGTAGATTGTCTGAATTTTGTTAAGTTACATTAAAGATAGAGAAAAAGAAAGATTAATACCACTGAAAACTAATTCAATACTGCTAGGTATGAGACATGAAATTTTTTGAATCATAAGTTTTAAAATAGTATTTTAAATTAGAAGAAATGATAAAAATTCTACAAAAAATTATAATGCTTTAAGTATTAAAATTTTTATATAAGGATTTGTTAAAGAAACTGTGACCAAACTTCGAGTTTTTTATATTTTTTTTTAACTTAAAATGTCATAACTTTATCAATTTTTATCAAAATGCTTACTACTGAGTATCAAAAGAAAGGTCTTAAAAAGGGCAAAAAATAATTGTTTAAAAAACATAAAATGACATTTAAAATATTTTTCTTGGATTTTTATTTGCATTTTTGTATATATTCTATTAAACCAACATCAAATATAGTTAAAATACTTGGAATTGGATTGGTTAAAGTAACAAATCATAAAATAGTATATTATAAACCATCGTTTGTACATAAGATACCATTAGATTGTGATTATACATTAGCAGGGTTGGATACATTGTATACATTAGCAGGGTTGGAGTCACATTTAATCAAATACAAATACAAGTTCAAATAAGATTCTACATTTACAAATCCAAATACAAACATATTTAACTGACATTTTCCAAATACAAATACAAAGACATTAATTTTTACTTAAAAATATAAAGATTTTTTTAAGACAAGACTGATAAAATTATCACTAAATAAAAGAATGAAAATAAGTCTTCTAAAAAATATCCCTTAAAACCAAGTTTTTATTTGATTTTAGTGTTCAAAAATTAAAATAAAAAAAGAACAAACCTCGTGGCATTTTCAAAAATAAACCCGCTTAACCTAGTTTATTAAATTGCAATTATATTTCAATCAAATACAAACACAAATGTGCCGGAATTACGGCCGGATTTTGTGACTTTTAGGTTATTCCGGTTCAGAATTAAAATACTTCCGGACAGATTCCCAGAAATAATTTTAACTTTATTTATTTAAGACATGTGACACAAACTGTGTTAATTAAATCAAAAAATCATTATCCTACAGGGCATTGAAGAACTATAGGTTAACTTACAAAATTCTAAAAAATGGTGAAAGTAAAAAATAAAAAGTTCTTAACAAATGCAATGTAATTTTAGGTAAAGTTACAATTTAGCGCTCTAAAATAGTTTTATTTTTTCGCTAGTTGCGCTCTTGTTAGTGGAAAAATTTAAATTAAATTAAACTTAAAAAAAGTCTCGCGGGCAAAAAAATGCCTGCAGCGTATTTTAACAAGAATAAAACTAATTAAAATCAACACATTTAAAAATTATAGACAATACACACTTACATAAAAATCGTTGAAAAAAAATGTCCGCATATATATAGTCAATTTACAATTAATTAATTAAAAAAATATTTAAAAATAAAAAACAAACTACAATTTACAAAGTTATAATATAAATTACAAATTATATTAAAATATTCAAATTACAACTGTTTCATTACAGAAAAATGAGTAAATATTTTATTAGGATAAATAAAAGTAGTAGTTAAAAACGACAAATTTTACAATAATTTTTTGCCTACCAATATTTGACTTGTTTTTTGAATACCTCAGAACTTTTAGAGGGCATGGCCTTGTTATGGGGTTGTCCATTAATTACGTCAACAAAATAGTGGGAGGTGGTCTGAACTTTTTTGACAGTTGTTGACAAGGGGGAGGGGGGAGATCAGTTAAATTGATGTCAACAATTTTTTTCTTTGGAGTTTCATGGCTTAAATAACGGAAAATTAGGCTGAGTTTGTAGCATAGCTCCTTTATATAGGGAGAAAAGGAGGGTAATCAAAAACTTACGTAATTTTATTGGAGGGGTCTCTGGAAGTTTTACAAATTGTTAACAAGGGGGAGGGGGAGTACAAAATTTTAAAAAAATTGTTGAAGTAATTAATGGACAGCCCCTATCTAGAGTGTTCCATAACAAGATGGCTCTAAATATATTAGAACATGTATCCTTTGAAGGAAGAATCATTTTTTTTTGCAACAACGAAGTTTGAAAAGAAAGTTTTTTGTATTGAATAAATCCTTCATAAATTCTGGATTTAAAAATTGATTGGTTTAAAAACTTCTATCAAAAGAAAACACGTGGATCCTCGGACTATTATTAAAACTTTTCAACAAGAGATCAAACCTTTTATGGACAATACAAAGAACTTTTTTATGAATTCTATTTATAAGGTTGTCATTGTATTTAGAACAAAACATCAAAATTAGGGGACAATAAGAAAAATTTGATATTATGAAGGTTTTAAACAACAAGGTAGCTTTATTACGGCATAAAAAATTTTTTATACATGAAAGAGCAAAGCACTTACCATTAGCTTTACTGCATAAGTATTTACTGTGTTCTCAAAAATTTAGATTCTTATCAATTGTAACACCAAGTAGTTTTACCCTACTACCTATTTTTAGGTATGGATTTTTTGTGACTTTTAAACCAACTAAAAGTAATTGGAATTTATCAGGGTTGGCAACCATCAAGATCAACTTAAACCAGGCAATGGTATGAGTTGCTTCTTTTTGCAATCGAAAAATAACTATTTCTAAGTTGTAATAAATGCCCGTTAAATAATTTGGATATTTAACGGGCATTTATTACAACTAAGAGATAACCATGTCGGTAATGTAATACTTCTATCTACCTCAAAAATCAATCCAAACATCAAAAAACTAGTTTCTGACGGTCACGTTCACCACTCTTAATAAGCTTAGGTCCAGACTTTTACTTTCAATCTTGAAGGTAAAAACTGCATAAATATAAATCCCATTCCGGCCGGAATTCCAGTTGGAGTTTTTTTAACATTTCCGGCAAATCCGGTTCCGGCCGAAATTCAAAACTTCCAATCCGGTACACCCCAACAAATATTTATGAAATTTTTTAATCAAATACAATACAAATACAAATACGCCAAATTAACCCATTTGTACCAAATAGAAATACAAATTTAAATACAAATACGTATTTGACCCCAACCCTCTATATAAGATACTATCAATTATTGTTGTGAAAATGGAATAATAGTTTTAATAATTCCTCCTCACTGCACTCGTTCCTCTATTTTCCTAAGCTGGTTCTGAACTAGTTTTTATTAGAACATTTTCTTTCATCAAGGTTTTAAAAATCACTCTTTGTTCTTTTAAATTCCAATTTTCTTGTTGCAACATCCACTTGCAGTTCTTCCATAGGTTTTGTAAATTTAACCTTTTTTCCCTTCACATCATACCTCGGAAATAGTTTAAACCAAGACCAAGTACATTTAGCAATCACTTCATTTTTAAAAGATTTTTTTTTGTGATGCATCAGTGAATAACAAATTTGATTTTTTAACAAACAAATATATTTACTTTGTTTCGAATGAGAATAATTGACGTGTAAACTAGGGTAACTTTACATAATTTCGCTCATCACTTAGTCTCGCCTACCATCTTTAATTGCTTATATGTTAGTTAACTCACACGCTGCATCATCAAAAAGACGTTCTTTTAGAGCAGCAAACCAGCCTTATTAACATCAAAACAATTTTGACCTCAAAAGAATTGAAAATAAAAAAGTATCTGTTGAAGAAAATTTGTTGGTTTTGGGTAATTTTTTTGCTACTTAATTTGCTGAATTCAAACCAGATGATGCAAATCTAACGAGTTAATTATTTATTATGCATATTAAATTATAATTTAATTTCGTTCTCCACTGTTTAATCTCTGATTGTAATAACATTTACAATTGTTTGAAATGGTAGAATATGCATAAAATTGTTTTCTGCTCAACCTACCAAATTAACTCAATTTCACCCACAGAATAAATATATTGTCGCCCAATGCATTTAATCTCGCCCGGGTGGGCGAGAACAGATGCAGCATAATATATTAAGACTTAAGCTACCAGCAGTTTTTTTTTAAAAAAAAAAACCTTTCGCCATGACCCTCATTATTTTTTCATCAAATTGGGATGACATATTTAAAAAATTAATTGAAAAACAAAATCATAAAATTTTGTAAGAATACATAGCGCGACGTTAGAATTATCTTGTGCTATCTCCAATTTTTGAAAAAATTGAGATTTTATTATTTTCGAATATTTTAGCATTGTGTTGTTCTACTTTAATTATATTGAAAAAAAATGAAACTTTTAACACGGTATTGCATGCAATATTGCATTGTTCTATCTCCTTAATGAGCAAACTTGAAAATATTATCTTGTTTTATCTCCAATCAACCAATCATATTACAATTACAAAGTTGTTCGGAATAATTCTATCAGTTTTGTTGTTTTTAAAATGGCAACTGCAAATATTGACCAAGAAATGGAAGCTGCCCTAAATCAAAACGAAGGTAGTTTTTCAACTTAATTTGTATTATAATTTTGGAAAAGTAGAATTCGACTTTCGCTTGTGCCATTTTAGATTAAATTTAAAAGTTATTATTTATACATCCTGGATAATAAAAAATTAATATTTTAATCGTTAGAGCTGATTGGCATTACACCTTCTCGTCGGTCGCCCCATGGTGGGGTTTCTAGGAAACGTAAAGCTGATAGGAGTAGTTGGAAACAAAGTGTAAGAAAAATCCAACGTCAGTCGGGTAAAGCTTATAAAAATACGAAAGGAGAACAAATGCCAAAAAGATCTATTGTTGCACTAAAAAGTTGCAGAAATTGTAAATTTAAATGTTCTACCAATATATCTGAGATTGAGCGTCAAATAATATTTGATAACTTTTGGACCTTAGATGATGACAGAAAAACACATTTCTATTCTAAAACTACTGAAAATCTGGAGAAAAAACGCTGTCGGACAGCTGCTGGTGACAATTCAAGAAGAAAAACATCTTATTGTTATAGCTTTTTTGTTTCTAATACACAATATAGAGTTTGTAAATCATATTATCTTTCAACATTGAATATTAGCAGCCATAGAGTGTTTTACTTTCATAAGTTTAATAAATCTTTAACTACTGGAACACCATTGCAATCAAAATCAGGGAAACATGTTAAAAAAAAGGTTATTAGAAAGTCTAAACAAGTTGTACGAGACCATATTAACCTTTTCCTAAGAATTGATGCTCATTATAGCAGGAAAAAGACACATAACAAATACATGGAAGGATCACTAAATATAGGTAGAATGTATGATCTTTATAAAATATATTGTGATGAAAATGTCTCTCCTCCAGCAAAAGAACATATGTATTGTTATATCTTTAATCACGAGTTCAATATAGAATTTCAAAAACCGAAGAAAGATTTATGTGACACATGCTATGAGTCACATAAATCTTTCTTCGGTTCGCAACATTGTTAATGCAAGCAATGAACAAACAGATAGTTATAATAAGCACATAAAATCAAGGAATGATACCAAAACTGAACGTGAAAATGATCGCCAAAATGTTGATTCTAAAACTGCCATTGTTTGTATTGACCTTGAAAATGTTTTAAATTTGCCTAGAGCTAATGTGGGAAACTTTTATTACAAACGAAAACTTTCAAATTATAACTTAACTGGTTATTGCTCGCTTAACAGGAAGGGTTATTGCATCCTTTGGCACGAAGCCATGACTGGTTGTGGAGGAAATGATCTAGCCAGTGCTGTAACATGTTTGCTTTTGAAAATCATGGCTGACCTTGACATAAATAAGTTCATACTTTGGTTCGATTCATGTGTACCACAAAACCGCAATAGTTTCATGTCAGCAGCTTTGTGTGAATTTATAATACGATACCCACAAATAAAAGTAATTGAACAGAAGTTCTGCGAGCCAGGTCATTCCAGCATTCAAGAATGTGACAACATTCATAGTCAGATTGAAAAATCCCTCTCTGCTGCAGAAATATTTATTCCACTTGGGCTAGAAAGAGCTATTAAAAATGTAAACCGTAAAAAACCTTTCTGTGTCTACCAAATGCAATTAGGAGATGTAAAGAATTTTTCAATTGTCGCTGGTTTGTCAAGTTATAAGTTAGTGCCTTATTCAAAGGTTAAAAGTCTTGTTTATCGAAATGGACTGCCATACCATGTTTTTTTTAAAACCTCGTTTTCAGATAATTATTCACAAGCTCGTATAAATAAGTCTGTCAAGAAAGCAGCATCAACCATTGTTGCAAAACCATTAAATACCAATATACCAATGGCAGCTTGCTTTCGTGCTTCTTATCAGTCTATATCTGTTGCAAAAGCCAATGATATCATTTCCATGTATTCATACATGCCTGCTGTTGATATTGCATTTTATAAAACAATAATAAATTGAATATTTACAAAACATTAATAAAGTCAAAATATTTTTAGGGTTGTTATATGTTTAGTATAAATATAAATAACATATTTATATATATATATATAATATAAATAATATACTTATAAATAACATATTTAAATAAAATATTTATTTAGTATAAATATAAATATAAAACACATTGAAATAATATTATTTTGAAATCTTGATAAAAATTTTTGTTTAGCTTGTGTTTTTTTTGTTTGTTTTTTTGTACTTTTATATTCATTTTCCCCCACTTGTTTGGTTTGGATGGTTTTCCATAGTGACATAAAGGCCACTATGAAAGAGTTAAAGCAATGTTTCACAACCTGATGCCCTTCCTGACGTTATCTTGAGTAACAATTTTTTATTTGTAAATATTTGCAATAACTTTTAATAAAAAGTTAAACTCTATTAATGGATACACAGGCATAAGAAAAATAAAATCAAGCTCATCTTGCATGGAGTTTGTGATTAGATTAGTTGAATTGTTGTGAATTATCAGATAGTTACATAATGTTATTTCTTTTATTATTACATTTTTTTTAACATAACTCTTTCCTATATACCTTTCATAATTTATTTTATACGTTTATATTATATTAATACGTTTATATTATTATTACGCAGCCAAATTTTCCGTTTTAAATTAGACGTCTTAGTCTTGTCCAGGGCCGGCGCCTACAGGTAATTAAAGTAAATGTAAGTCGTAAGAACAGTGTCGTTAGAGGCTCTTCTAAAAGTTCTCCTAATTAGGGCCTCATTTTATTTAAAAAAACTTAATTTTTTAGGTAATACAAAAAGCGTCTTATATTTTGAAAAGGGTCCCGTTAAATTAGGGGCCCATGCCCCTAATTTAGGGGCCCATGCCCATAAATTAGGAGTGTATGGTACTGCGTAAGAATAATTAGCAGGTAGAACAAAATTTCATCAATTTCTAACATGTCGTTGTTGAAAAATGTACTTAATATGTTTAATATATATGATGTAACAACATAATATTTTTGAATTTTACTAAAAACCAAAGTTATTTTGTTTTATCTCCAAAAGAGGGTGCGAAAAAAAGGGCATTAGCGTAATTTTAAAAAGTTTTTTTTATCTAAAAATTAATAATAAAACATTTTTAAATCTTAGAAAATACCTAAATTCTCAAAATATTTTTTCAATTTAGCTGCGAACAAATTCAAACTTTGACATCGATTTTCTCAGTTTGCAAAAACATGGAGGTAGCACAAGATAATTTTAACGTCGCGATATGTATCCTTACGAAAGCAATCAGTTAGCATTAAATAGCATTCAAAAAGATTATTCTCTTAATTTTAATTATTAATAAATTTCGTAATGATACATATTAAGAGCATGATCTTTTTGAATGCTTACAAAGGAGTATTTTTTATGTATTTTTATTCTATATATTATTGAGGAAATTATTTTATAAATTAATTAACCTTATTTCAACATCCTTGGCATTATCGTAAAAATGAACCCCAAACTTACTTGATAATTACTTTGACAATATCAAATTGATGATATCCACGTTAATTTATTTTTGATTGCCTTCAAAACAATACTCTTCTTCTGTGTATTTTTATTAGGGATATTATTTAAAAACTAAATTGCTATGGCTCTGCGTTGAGTAACTGTATAAAAAGCTTATGTTCATCAAAACTAAATAAATTAGCTAGATACCCAGCCAATATTAACATACGGGTACCTTACGGGACCCATACGGGTTGTCAACTGGGTACCGTATGGAAAGACCAACGGTATCCCACCGGATTATGGCCGCGGTTTCCATATGGGTGAGCCCGCCGGGTATACTGTATGGGTCCCAGTCAAATCCCGTACTTAAAAACCGTAAGGGGCCCATTTGGGTTTGCAAATGGGACCCATATGGGAAACCCATTGGGAACCAGCCGTCCAGTTAACCAGCCCAACTGGATCCCAGCTGGGATTGAACTTGAATTACTGGGATTAAGTTCGAGCTGGGATTTGTTCTGGGTGCCAGATGGGTCCCATATGGTGTAAAAATAATGCCGCAAAGAAAACTTGGGTTTTTACTGAGATTGGCATGGGGCTTCCGTAAATGGTTTACGGCTGGTTTGAAGATGGAACGCATGCACGGCAATCTATAATGAAGGCCATGCCATCGCGCAAACAGCTTAGTTGACTGGGGGCCATAGGCGCGCGCAGAAAATTTTCTTAGGGGGGGGGGGGGGAAACATTTTTTGTTATTGCTTTTTTTCCTGTTATCTATTATGAAAAAATCAAGATATGTAAGATATAAAATAAAGAGAAGAAAAAAATTACATATCCGTGGAAAAAAGAAGATAATTTAAACTTGTCAGCACCGTTTTGAAAATGTAGTGTGTAAACTACAAAACATGCTAAGATTGAAAAATATCTTGTTTTATACAAATAAGCAATTAATTATTTCGGAAAAAACTTAATTAGGTTTTTTCCGAAACTGTAACGAAGACTTCGTTACAGTTATACTTCAAGTATCACTAAAAGATATTTTTTACAGAAAAATTTAGTAACAAACTTTATGGCATGAAGAACGTTACAAACAAGAAAATTTTTTTCTATATTTAGAAAATACAGGGATGAGGGGGGGGGGGGGGGGAGTACCTCCTCTTGCCCCCCCCCCCCTTCCTTGCGGGCGCCCATGCTGGGGGCCTATTTTTTTTAACGGCGAAAACAAAACAAAAATGTGCTTAGTAATTTTTTTGACGAGGAGTCAAAAGTTTACTTAAATTGTTTAAAAAAATGTTTGAAAGAATACTTCCGTGATGTCGATGCATCTCAAAGTTGTAAAACTCTGATATCATTATTAGAATATTGTTCGATGAAACTCTGCATACTTGATCTTTAATCGCATTAAAAATTTAAAAAAAAAATATTACCCATTGACAGGTATTATCTGTGGGGATATTAAGTCCACCACGGTCAATTGAGTCGATGTATTGTCCATACTTTTGGTGGTAGAAAGTTGTTTTTTCTAGCAGCTCATTTTCTGATAGTTCGTTATCTTTACGAGTTAAATACCCTGATATTTATATAAGTACCATATTTGTATCAGGAGAAATCAACGATTCAAGATTTGGTAGGTTATCAAATATCTTAGCAGAGAGCTCATCCAATAAAAAGCCACAATTTGGACAAGAATGGGTTGTATCAAGACATATGTCAACAGCTAGGTTATTAAGTGATAGTAAAAGCTTGGCTATTGAAATATTCAATTTTTCAATTACCTGTTGTATTGTTATAAAATACGTACCTCCGGAACCTTGTCGCAATTTGCTAAACTCATTCTCCAATGGATCAGTAGAAAACTCACTAAGAATGACATATTGGTGTGAGCTATTCAATAATGATCGACATAATTCAACAACACCATTGTAAGTTTGGTAAATTGATTGTGCAGTGTCACATGTAAGTTGTTTCTTCCTTTTACCTTGCTTTCCAGCCATCTTTAAAGCCATATTTCCGATATCTAAAATATTTTCTAATCTATTATCATTAGGATCTCTAATTTTATCCTAGTAACGGGAGCAAAATTTTAAAAAGCGAAAATAAAAGTGATTATCTTAATGCAGTCCACATTAATATACGTAGCTTAAAAAAGAATTTTGAAAACTTATCAAATTTTATTAGCGAAGCGGAAAGTTCTTTTAATTTAATTTGTTTAACTGAAACCTGGTGTTTACATGCAGATTTTAAAAATAACTCAAATCTCCATCTCCCAGGTTTTGATCCAGTAATTTTAGAACGAAGTACAAATAAGCGAGGAGGAGGAGTTTTATTTTTTGTTAAAAATGACCTTCTATATAAAGTTCGAAGCGAAATGTGTGTTTCTGATGAAAACAAAGAGATTTTAACAATAGAACTTATAAATAAGCGTTCAAAAAATATACTAATAAGCTGTTGTTACAGGCCACCAACTGGAAGAATTGAAAACTTTGGCAATTTTTTACTAAATAACATAATAAAGAAAACTGATCTTGAAAAGAAAAAAAATTACTTGATCGGGGATTTCAACATA